TTTTCAGAGGGGGGCAATGCCACGTTCCGTTTCTCAAGTTTTGTTATCGCCCCAAAGCACTACACAATTCTGAGCGCAAACCGTGCCTGCAGTTTTCGAGAAGCTTCGGGACTTTAGTAGATCATTTCGATAAGATCACGCGCACTCTGCGAACTGTACAGATTATTCTGGAACCTACGCCACCGCCAGCGAGAACGCTAGAACATTCGATGGTAAGAGTATAAATGCCGACTCACTTCGTCGCTTGTCAGTAGTTGATCAATGGCCAACGCTCCGTTCACTGCTATCTGTGCAAGACTGCTACTGTAATCGGACCTTCCGTTTACCGGGCACAGGTTCGCCCAATTAAACAGTTAAATCCCAACATAAAGTCTCCTGTCTTCGGCCGCGTCACGACCCCGTGACAATATATAGAGTGCTAGCTGTCAAGTGCAGGTCATTCTAGAGTCAGATAAGTTTTAAGGAAATATTGTAACAGACTTAAACAAGATGACTCATCAATATGCTGCCTGTACAATTTTGTGACACTCTCTCTGCAAATGTACGCTTAAGACCAGAGCCCAGTAGGAAATCTACGGGCATAAATCTGATTCAAAACATGGATACTTCAATCTGTCCCTGCTTCTATACTCTGTTCTTTGTTGTTGTTTAACCTAAAATTTCGTCATCTTTGCTCTCATTCTTTATTCAATAATTTTGTTATTTATATATTGTATTTGTTTTAATTGATTCTGTCTTGTGGAGTCGGCGGACATTGTGCTCATTGCTGTGGCCTTTGCAAACCCTCTTCTAGATTTGCAGGCGTAGATAATAATTACCATTATTTCATTGGGGCGAACACTGACATTTACAGTATAGACCGCTTATAACGTAAGTTGCGGGAGTAGCGAATATCCGCACTATAAGCGGTACCGCACTACGTATAACCAAACCAACCTCTTTCAATGGTCGCACTTGCGCAAAATGTGTTGAGCATGCAGCTTTGCCTGTCTGAGAATCGGAACATGCGATGCGGGCTTGCTAACATTTAAATTTCTGAATGTTAAAAGAACGTAACGTCCAAAGTAACACGTTGCCAATGAAATGAACGCAAAAGGGAGGGAGGGTCTGCCAAATGAAAGCACCATCGCGGAAATTCGCTGACTACCAGACAGCCTCGATTATGCGCATTACACAGAAAATATGTCGAATCACGTCCAGAATTTGATGCGTTGAAAGACGCTAACCTTTCGATTTCATGGGCGCGCAGATGATTTAAGACATTTCAATCGAATCGTGAACCTGTGTTTGAGTGCTACACGGGCTGCCCTCTTTTTCATTAACGATATGTATCCCTTCCTGTCAAGTGCAGCCACCGCAAAAAGTTTCGTTCATTTGGTACCAAACTGCAGCTTAGATTCACGTGACCGCTATCGATCGATGCTTAACAATGCGAATTAGGCCTAGCTTGCCGTTTGGTATATTGTCGCGAAAAGCTTGTCTAAAACATGAAGATTCGGCATCAAAAAGATCCCGCTAGCAGTGAACCAAGAACAGCGTGCGTGATACGAAGTTTGCGGTCACGGCCGGGAGATCAGCAACGACGAGAACTCGCCAAGCTAGCTTACGTACGACAGTGCACTGGCAGCAAAAGTGAAAGCTCACGTCATAAAACTGTAAAAGGTTTTCAATTTACCGACAAGGAAGCAGGAAACTGTTGAGCGCATGCAGTTGATAAGGACGGGATCGCACGTGCCACGTTGACCGGCGGTGGCCAAAGCCGCACTGGTGACGTAGTACGCTGTAGCCGCGGCGGCGCCGGTGCAAAGACTTTTCGGTAACCGAGGCAACTGTCCTCCTCCCTTACTCGGCGAGCCCGCGCACTGCCCCACTATCTTTTTTATTTTCTTCTTTTTCTTTCCTCTACCCTACGTTCGTTCGCTCCATGTCCCTTCCTTCTCCGTAACGACCTCGTCGTTCACTCCCCAGCGGCGCACCCAGCAGGTCTTCTTAGCTCTTTCCTTACCACACCACTAGACATCGTTTACCGGTGAACGATGATTTCGCGCCCCTATTTTTCAAAAAACACTGTGCGAATGGACTTGTAGCGCCATCTAGGCGATGGTACACACACTAGAATTGCTTTTTCTGTACGGTTCTCATTTTTACCGCGTGGCGGGGATTTTTAAAGGTCACGCCCGTTCAAAGGTTGAAGCGCATGTGATTCATGCGATGGCGTCAACATCAGAAACCACGCGCGCTCGTAAAAAAGCGATTTCGCTCGATGCCGACGCCTCGACGAGCGATCTTTTGAATTCCTCGAGTAGTGAGGAATCAGACAACGATGTGGTGACATCGGATTTCAGCTTCGATGAAGAAATTTCATCAGATCAGCCGGGAACGTCAGCTGTTAGTCGCGGGTATGTTTGGTTTTCACCTTCTGTTTTGTTTATCGTGTTCTGGAGCTGGCTGACTTGCTCTGTATGTGTCCCACATATTGTTATTATTATTTCTAGCGTGTCTACTTCATATGGGCGCGATGTGCTGCCTCCAGCACAAAGACGCATGGACTTCCGACCCCAGAGGGATCCGGGCATCGACCTTGGCATGCCGCTCCGTAGTCGCGCACATCGGCTGACGAGAGCACTGGATTATTTTTGCCTCTTCTTCACAGCGGAGGTGATCCGCGCAATCTGTCTGAACACCAACAAGTATGCGTGGACCCACGTACTTGAAAAGCCAACATACAGTGAGAAAGACAGATCGTTGAAGGAAGTGACGCCGGAGGAGATGATGAAGTTCATCGGACTCCTGATGTATATGGGGATGTTAAAACTTCCACGTCTGAATTTGTACTGGAGTACGACTAAAATGCTTTCTGAACTTCTTCCGCCAAAAGTCATGTCAAGGCGGCGTTTCACCGCACTTCTGGCCATGCTGCATGTTTCGGAACCCGAAACCAACGGCGCTACCGCACAAAAACTAGACAAGGTGTCTTGGCTTCTTCAACACATCAATGACTGCTCTGCAACGTTTTTCCAGCCGTATCGCGAAATTTCAGTTGATGAAAGAACGGTTAAATCCAAAGCACGCTCCAGAATTTGGCAGTACATTCGAGACAAAGTTGTGAAATGGGGATACAAATTGTGGGTTCTTGCAGATCCGAAGACCAGCTACACCATTCAATTCATAGTTTACACGGGGAAGCGTGAAAAACCAAGCGAAAATGGGCTGGCATTCGATGTGGTGACGAAGCTTTGCGACAAATACCTTGACCGTGGCCATGTCATTTACATGGACAATTTCTATACGTCCACATCTCTTCTTGTGCACTTGCTAGAATGCAAGACACTCGCGTGTGGCACTACTAGAAAAGATCGCCGCGGGTTCCCATCAGAATTGAAAAATATCACCTGGGAAAGAAAAGCCAAGAGAGGGGACATTCGCTGGCTACGGGATAAGGGGGTATTGTACCTTCAGTGGAAGGATCGGCGTGTTGTGGATATGGTTAGCGCAGCTCACACCGCTAACGCTCACGTGCTCGCTAAGAGAAGGGAAAAGAAAAACGGGAAGTGGGAGCAGATCACAATCGGGAAACCTAAACTCATCGACAAATATAATGCCGGCCTGTTAGGGGTCGACAAGTCTGACGAGCTGATTGCTTCTTATAATATTCTTAGAAAATGCGTCCGCTGGTGGAAGACGTTGTTCTTCCACTGCATTGATATCGCAGCTGTCAACAGCTACATTCTTTTTGAAGCACATCGGAGCCAAAATCCAGAAACACCTGAACTTTCTGGGCTGTCTCGCTTTGATCAGCTGGCTTTTAGGACAGAACTCGTACAACAACTTCTTCAGATAGAGGACACCGCACCAGCTTCTATTCCTCCCACCCCAATTCGGCCACCCACAGCTGTACAGCACCAGCCTGAACGATTGGAGATACGCCGCAACTGTAAGAAGTGCTACCAAGAAAACAAATCTCAACACAAGACGAACATTTTCTGTCGCACCTGCAATGTCTATTTATGCTTCACAACGAGAAACTGTTTTGGTGCCTGGCACACTGATCTCCCTGAGTGAACAAATTATAGCTCGAGGAGTTCTTCAGCTATAACTTTAATTTTTTCAATCCTACTCCAATACGCTGTTTTAAATATTTTGCATCTCTCATAATTTTCCATAATTTTATACTCGGAAGATATAAGTAAATCATTACGACATTTGTTGTGAACATACCTAATTATTTGTGTTTGTCAATTTTTGTTACCTATTTAGATCTGCCAGTTCTTCCGTCAAATGTACCTTTCAAACCCTACATTTAGTACTTGCATTTTGGTATGTAATATTTTGCTGTAAAGTTTTTTTTCTTAAAAAAGAAACCTCGCGTAGGACCAACTCAGAACTTCACTATTTCGCTATGCATCAGGCAATTTTTTTGTAACTCAAAAACAGCTTTGTCAATTTTAACGATTCTTCTAAATAATGTTGCACTGTGATTACTAAACATTTTGTATATTTCAAAATTTCTCAGAAAAATTTTTGTCTGACATATCGCTTCGTTTTCAAATAAAATTTTTGAAAATTTTTTATTTTTTTTTGTATACGAATTTTTTTTGCCAAATAAATTTTCTTTATTGTTTTAAAATAAAAAGCATTCAAAAGTACATTCATTCGTCTTTATTTTGATGTATTGCATGTCACTGTTAATCTAGTAGTGACGGCACAGAAAATTCCTAGCTGCAACATACAAAAATAGGCCAATTTTCCCGTGGTAAGGAAAGAGTTAAGGAAGCACCCTCGCTACCACGTTTGTCACAAACAATTTCCGGCAACCGCGTTATAACTGGTCTTTCATCTTGGGGGACTCCACAATAAGCTGTATGCGTATACATGGGGTTCCATGGGAGGGTAAACGAGAAAAAGACCGAATTGTAAGCGGTTCTGCACTATAAGCAGTTACGTTATAAGTGGTCTATACTGTAGTATTTTTTTTCTCTGTACTTGTTGCGTTGTTTCAGGTGCTGACCTTCTGAGACTCACAAGAGACGATCTCATCCAAATTTGCGGTCTCGCCGATGGCATTCGGCTTTTCAATGCCTTGCACTCAAAGTGAGTTTAGTTTTTCTTTGTTGCTTGTTTTGCTTTAACCTTCTCTGTTTCTCCCATAAAACATTGAACCTTTCATCTACTTGGAAGTTAACAAAATCTTCTGTGTCGTTGAGTGTCACATTTGAAGCCACCTCCTGACGTATGGCACGTTTTCGATTAAAAGTTACTCTCATACTGTCTTGCAGGACTATTCGGCCACGGCTGACCGCCTATATCTCCTTGCCCGCAGAACAAGGTAAGACATTGCATTGCACAGGCTTGTTACGGCTTAACAGTAACGTATCTATTTTTAATAGCAACACATTCCTTTTAAATACAAGATAAGCATTTGCTGGTGCAGATGCAAGAAGTCCCTTTGACATTTCTTTTTTTCTTTCTTTTAATGCATCAGCTGGAAGGTCTTCTAGCCCAGGTATACATTCAGTGCCATTATACTTCACTACAATGTGTGATGTTATTTAATTGTGCATGTTAGTAATGCTGGGTAGCTTATGTACTCTACTTCTTTGAAAAGGCCATGTACCACTCCTCGAGCTTGATGAGAAAACACATCATGTTGAGCAGACACTGCTATGAAGATCTCAGCAAAGTGTCACAGCCATCCATAGCAAGAAGCGTGTAGCAGCTCAGCAGGAAGTTGCCATTTATTTAATGACCTCTTTTCATACCTGCGCTCACTCTCTTAGGCGCTGCTAGCGCTTGCTGTTTGGAACAGTAGACAGCATGCTATTGGCCAAGAGGTAACATAAATCAAGTACGGCATTTGGATCAGATGCACTTCTTGCGTCATGGTGCCAGAACACGTCAGGGCCTGCGCTCCATAGTCTGATAACATTACATAGTGAGCCCCACTTGCTTATAGAAATCACTATGAGCGAGAATGATCCGAGCACTGACATACAATGGAACTCCAATTATGTGGCTTTCAGGGGACCACGAAAAACCAACATTATCGGCAGCGAGGCTCAGCCTTGCCCAAAAAGCGGGTACAGACTGCTTGAATAAGCCCACGGCACAACCTTGTGCCTCTGCAGGGAAGGTAGATTAAACTATTCTTGACAATGGCAGCTAATGGCGGCATTATTTAGTTGAAAGAGGTGCCAGCGAATCTTTATTCTGAATCCTAAAAATAAAATCAAATTCAGCGCGCATATTTCTGTCAATAAGTAGAGTCCGAAAATTGCCTGCGCGTCATAACGAAACCGAAACCTTTTTGCTAAGAGCCTCCAGTCAGAAAAGTTAACCACAGTATCATCGCTATCACATAATGGCGACAGACCATGAGTCTTCGTAGAATGCATGTAGAATACTTTCGTGCGCGACTGAGCTGTGCGCCTTGTAATTTGTTGCCTTGTGAAGTGCAACTAGTGGTGTCCCGCTCTTATTATGAATGTTGATGTCAAGTAATTTTGCATGGTGAAAACAGCTACGTCCCGCCTTTACGCGTGTGCACGCAAGCCTGTGACTGCGAGTGTGACAAAGGCTACTAAGTGTTTCTAAAAGAGAAAGGAAGACAAAAGTGAGCCCCATAACTATCTGCTTCAGCGAGCGACACCTCAACAGTAGCTCACAAGAGATGGGGGTGAGGAGGGATTAAAAGGATAGGAATAAAGGTGTAGAGAGAGAGAAAGAGGTGTGAGGTAAGCCAGGGAGCGGCGCTATATCGAGGGGATAGGAGAGATAGGAAAGATGGAATAACGGTCACAGGAGTCCGAGGACGGGGCACCACTTGCGAGTGCTCTTGTCGGCGTCAGGAAGTGGCGTAGAGCAAGTCCAGTCGGTCATAGCTAGGGCGAGCCCAGTCGGCCAGAGCTACGCTGACGTCAAAGATCGCGAGGGAACAACCGGTCGGCACGGAATCCAGCGAGCGAGTCCCCTGACAAAGGCATGAGATTAGCTGTATGTAGACCAGGACAAGTTTTCACGAACAGAAAACCTGGAAGCATCAGCTTTTTGGCTGGCTGAAGCTACAGTCGCGGACCGATTTTTCGGACTGCAAAAATTCGGACTTGTTTGGTATTTCGCACTTAAAGAGGGCATCGTCTGGGTTCCCATAGGGCTAATGCATTTTTTGACAAATTTTTCGAACGAATTTGACACCGAAAGTTAGATTTTTCGGACTAAATAGCTTGTTTTGAGCCGCGCCACGGATAATTACTGGACGCCGCGATGTTGGATTTTCGGCCGGCTTGACTAAGCTTAGTGGCTTAATTTTAAAATGGCTTTTCTGTCTCCGCATTGGAAAGTGAACGTCATATTTCAAGTTTCGGAGGCCGTGTCTGCTTTAGAAAACGCAGGCACGGGACCATTTTTTAGTCTTCGGTCAGCCATAGTGGTCAGCACTATCGTCATCGCACCTGTACAGGGAGGAGGCAGAGGTGCGCAGTGGTGAAGTGAATGTACTGGTTGTAGTATAGTCCCTAGAATAGTGAATAGTGAATGCGCCTGCCACGATGACAGTTTTCGCTCGTGCGCACTGATGACAATTTCGTGCACAGAGCCCACAGACGAAGAAATTCTTTGCCAGGTTTTGCCGCAGCCGGAGAGCGGTTCAGATGATGATGACGATGATCGCCCACAGCCATCGGCGGCGGAGATCGCCACCGCAATGACGCTTTGGCCGAGAATTTACGGTGACGATGTTACCTTGGCGCAAATACAGGCGAACCAAATTGCTTCCAAGCATAGTATGAGGCAAGGCATCTAAGCATAGTATGAGGCAAGGCAGGGAATCGCTCGCTGGATTTCGTGCCGACTGGTTGTGCCGCCGTGATCTCCGACGACAGCGCAGCTCTGGCCGACTGGCTCGCCCTACGCCATCTCCTGCCTCCGACAAGAGCTCTCGCTGAGTGGTGCCCCGTCCTCCAACTCCTGCGACCGTGTTCATCTTTCCTATCTCCTCTTCACTTCTGTCGGTTTCTGTCGTTCGCTATCCCTGCGCCTCGCTCTCTCCTTCCCCCTCTCCATTCCTATACCTTTATTCCTATCCTTTTAATTCCTCCTTACCCCCATCTCTTGTGAGCTACTGTTGAGGTGTCGCACTCTGATGCAGACAGTTACGGGACTCACTTTTCTCTTTAAGAATCACATAAGAAAGGCAAGGCAGAATCATGGACTTTTTTAAAGCTTGCCTGATGCAATAAAGTTCATATTTCTGACAAAAATGAATTTTTCAGGCTGTTCAATTTTTCGGTCTTTTCTTCGGTCCCCGCCAGGTCCGAAAAATCGGTCGGCGATTGTACTCTGTGTGGATAGAGCTTGACTAGGTAGCGACCCCTGATTTGTAGGCATGGCATGGAGGCGTATGTAGAAGCGCATGAACTTCCAGGAGAATGCATTTTCTCTTCTGAGAAGACATCCTGTCTCACACTCTACTTATCCAATCGTCAACCTTGGGGAACGCAAGTTTATATTTTGCATTCGTTAATATTTGGTCAATGTTTTATTCAAGTAAAAGTTCTTTTTTTTTTGACGGAATCTGAAAGTCGTCGTAAGATTTAGGGTCGACGTAAAACTACAATGTATAACCAAGGTTTTTAATACATTATTTCTATGAGGATTATGCTGGGACCTGACCAATTTGTCGTGAACTTCAGGTTGTCCGGAACCGGGGAACGTATAGTGGAAGCTCCACTGTACTTCTTTTCCCTGTGTCATCCCATCTTGTGTAGCTTCTAGCACACTCATTGGAATAAGAGAAGAGAGAAAGCGCATAAAGTGTGCGACAAACGCCTGTTACTCAACTAATTCTTGCGTATTCAATAAATTTGCGCTGCAGTTGATTCCAGAGAAAATAAACTCCGACATTGAGGTCACTCATTTGATGATTACGTGAAGAAGTGGTCCATGGCCCCTTTAACTGTGTGTTTAAAGGGACACTAAAGAGGAACAATGACTTTGTATAGAAGGACAAACTGCACTCCAAGAACTCCAGTGCCATATATTTCATCATCATAAATTCATTATTAGCAGAGAAAATCAAGGTTCAAGTTTCATTTTAGAATTTCGTGCCGAAATCTCCACGCGAGACGCTACAAACTTCAACATGTATTTTTGGTATTTTCATGGCATTGGCTCGATTAAATTTTCTGAAACTTCATATTCTAAGTCTGTGGCCCCAACAGGATGACAATGTGCTTAATTTTGATCGATTGAAAGCTACGTAGGACCCAGTAGACGCTTTCGAAATTTCTTACATCATGGTGTTTTGTGACAGTATCTCAAGGTGGCGTTGCCACCCACATTTTATTTTCGAGCGATTCTGCGCTTACTAGACGTCATACCTCAGCAAGGGTAGTTTTTTAGGATTGTGAAATTGTACTTCACTAATACACAAAAAGTCATTTTGCTCTTTAGTGTCCCTTTTAAAGGTGATCATAGTTTCTGTGTTGTTGCTTTTTCGGACTGTCACCAAAACAAGCTGTTGCTGTGCGATGCTTTATCGTCGTGCTTGCCTGTCATTGGCTGGTTCAGTATTCCGGGCTGTGTACCTGAGGAGCCTGACAGTGCTGGAGCTGCTCAGCAAGCTGACATCACTGTGCAGTGTCTCCCCTTTCACTGTTCATGACATCTACATCGACGGTCCCTCTGGAATTCACGTGCTGGTCACTGACGAGGTGAGAACTTTGTCTCCTTATGACAATACTACATTAAACTACAGCAGAACCTCAGTGATACAGATCTCATGGTGACATAAAGATATTCCCACAGCTGAAATTTGCACAACCGAAAAACCATGGAAATTGCTATTCCAAAAGCATGCCACAGAATAAGACTAGAATACATGCAAACCCACGATCGACCTTAGCTGGTTTGCTAAAGGTCATGGCTTTTTTGGTGCCTGGACTGGGACACATTTTTCTTCAGAAAGATTGCTTTACACTTTGTGAAATATTTCCCTGAAGCCTTGTGTTCTTATAAAAAAATGGTTGGATGCCAATTTTCCTTTTGGTAACTCGTCCTCTACCTTGTCAGATTCTGCAGAACATATTTGATATTGTAATAGTATATAGCACTGTTTCCACAAACCAGAACTGAAATATGCATTTGCAGTTTTGTGCTTATGTTTGTCCCTGATGGACTCTGCCAATAAGTGAATGGGGAGTTTAAAGGTAACAGTATAATTCATGTTCCCAGATGGTCGCAGTACAACATATGCTTCGTTTGTGTAAACTTCTGGGTCATTTGAATCTTGAACGTTATCTGGCTGAGGAATATTGTGCAACATCTTAAACAGACTTAGTCATCTGTGCACGCTTTTCAGAACTATGAAGGGTTATCATAGTCATAGGTTGTGATTGTGGAAAAAACTGTGGCAAGTTGTTTAGGGGCAAATCTCCATAGGGTGTAGGTTAGTCCCGCGCCCGTCCTAGTAGCTACCCCTGCTTCTCCAAATGGCGAAGCAGAGTACCCATAGTACCCGGTCGAAATTTCCGGAGCCTTCCTCTATGGGGTCTCTCATAGTCATATGGTGGTTTTGGGACGTTAAACCCCACATATCATATCAATCGTAGTCGTCATGGTAGCCAGTGGCGATGCATTGCATGTAAATAAAAACGCTGTCACAACATATTCATGGAGGGAATGATGATGAGTGGGTTGAAGCGTCCGTCCGCCAATCGTACGTCTGTGCGTCTGTCTGTGCATCCGTCCGTGCATTCGTGCATCAGTCCTTCCGTGAATTTTTTTGTGCGTCCATCCATCCGTCCATGCATCTATTCATGCGTCCGCCCATTCGTCCGCCCTTCATCCGCTGCGCCCTACTCGTCATCATTCACCTCGTGGATATGCTGCTATTTAATGCTAATGTACCATAGTTACTCGCATAATCCTGGCACTCGCATAATTCTCGCACCCCCCACATTGCCCCCCGAAAATGCATTTTTTTTCTGCAATTATCGCACCCCCTACAATTGCAGCCATAATGTCCTCTGCTCCTTCCAACCACTGATGATAATAGCGCACAAAAGCATGGTGCCATTTCTTGATAATTATGCATACTATCAAGGCATGGAAGCCCAATCTAGTTTGAGCCAAGCCAAAGCGGCAAGTGTGCGTTGCGACGTGTTAGTACGTTATCTCCATGTTGTGGTTATGCTATGGGGTGATACAGAAGCTACATGACTGCTTTCAGGCTGAAAGTGATTGATCATGCACTAAGCAACGGCAACAGGGCTGCCAGTAGGCACTTTGGAGTCGTTGAGTATTGTGTTCGTTGCTGGCAATGGCAGCATGGGCAGCTGAAGCCAACAAGACGCGCTGGGCCCCTTGTGTGCCTTTGACTTAGATAGCTGGTAAAACTTTATTTTTACAGAAGGTAGGTAACCGCAGACGATTCCGTGTTAGGTGGCCATCAGCCTAAAGTTGTTGTACGCTAACCTTTTGCGGACTCCCGTTGAGTGACAAAGGCTAGCGCTGTGCCCGCAAGCTTTGTGTACAGTAATTGAAAACTCTCAACTATTTGCTTGGAGTTTCTGCGCCTCAAATAAATCTTGCCTTGTCTTAAACCTATGGTTTTATTCTTAAGGTAAGTCTTGATTATTACTTCTCAAACTAGTTGCTAGTGCGAGAATCTTGATTTGCGGCCACTTAGTTTTTTTTTTTTCCCCACGCCGTTCGTTTTGGCGGAAATTTTTTCTCGTGTGATTCTCGCACCATTACTTTTTCATTGTTTTTCTGCAAAAAAACAGTGCGAGGATTATACGAATAAATACGATATGTGCAAACTGGCAGAAAGCATGCCCATCCAGCTCATTGGCCCCTGCTCGGCAAGCAGCAGCACGCTGTCCTTATTACTGGTGCTACTAGAGTACCGATACAAGAGTTTACATGCTGAGACGCACCCAGTCGCCGACACCCTGTTGGCATGCGGCTAACGTGGCTTTCCGTCGGCAGTCTGAGAGAAGTGACTCAGTAGAGAACAGTGTCCGATTGTTGTGATGTCCTCTGACTGCGGAGAAAGATTAGAAAATTCAGATGCTCATTTGTGGTTTGCTTCAACGGCAGTTAGCGGCAGCGGCGAATATAGGTCCACGAGTAGTACGGTTGACGGGAGGGAAGCGTTCACGCTCTGCAGGGGAGAGGAAAGTGGTGCCGAGTGAGTGGTGAGCGGTGCGTGGGAGAGTGCCGCAGTGACAGTGTGTTCCTAGCCCCCACAGAAATGAAATTCTCTGTTCTTTAGTGCCTTTTCTTCGCTACATAACCGGCTAGCTAGTTTCAGTACAGCTTTCAGGTGCTTGACCTGTAGCGTAATAGGTAATTTTTTAAGCCAGTGGGTTATTTATTTCAATTCACAGGTGGTCCGCAACATGCCTGACGAGTCAATGTATGCTTTGGAGCTTCTGAGAGGTAAGGTGGCTTGAAATTTCTGGCTGAATGTTGTTTCTTACGACTGTGTTGTTGTGGCAACTGTGCACATGGATATGGTTGCTACTTGATTTTCTCAACACGCACTTACTTACTCTGAAATGCTGTATGTTTACGGTGAATAGTAGGCTTGTATAAATAGTGATTTTGGTCGAATGATTTTGAATCGAATTCTACGTATAATATATGCGAATGTATATAGCATATATAAAGAAAAATAGGTATATTTGTCATAGACCTAACTAACCTGCACAATACTTTCTAAAAATTGAGGCTTGTATAAATAGTGATTTCAGTCGAATGATTTCGAATCGAATTCTTCATATATTATATGCGAATGTATATCGCATATATAAAGAAAAATGGGCATATTTGTCATGACCTAACTAACCTGCACAATATTTTCTAAAAATTTAGACAATGCCTTGAAAATGCCCTTTATAATTTTTTTTTTGCTTCAAACGAAGTGGAAACAACTTTGAACAGTAGCATGATTTGACTTTTGGTAGAATGCAAGTGATGATTATGTTACATGTTAAAATTTGCTATACATAGAGCATATAGTAAGTCTGCATAGCAAGCTTTTAAACCTGATAAATGAATCAATGTGAGGGTAATATCTTCATTTAACCTTGAAGTAGGGCTTCGCGATAGTGCGGATTTATTTTCATAACGTGTTTTCCCGGCCTAGAACCACCTCAGTGCAGTGAAACCACCTTTACAGGGGCTAACTTGCAGACTAAAATACATTTAAATAAGTGTTTTCACGATGAGCGCTCCTTCAGTGCAGATAAACTACCTTTATGGGGGTTACATATGGACTAGCATACTTCTATTCGTTCAATTCAAATACTTCAAAGTTTTCAATAGCTTGAATTTGACTCTGAGGGAATTCAAATTCTGTATTATTTGTTAGGAAAAAGTTGTGAATACCTGATACAAGCAACAATTTACAAGCATGGGAAGGCTATTTATATGTACATTTTAGATTAATTGTGTACATACTTGAACTCTTGAAAAGCAACTGTTTGGCACAAAGCTTTGTGAGCATATGTGAGCAAACTGCATTTAGATAGCACGCTCTAAGGCTCTGCCAGAAAGCTGAATTACAACCTCGGCTCCCCATTTTTCCAGGCTTTTTTTCGCCACATAAGGTTTCTTAAAGGGCCCGTAACCACCCAGAAGTTGAAATTCAGTTGTGGTGGGAAAATTCTGCACGAGTGTACGACGAACACAGAGCTGTGAGAATTTTTCTAAACGGTGACGTAATAGCGAAGTTAGACACATTTTATTATTGAAACCACGACAATCCCTCTTTTCACTTTCTCCTGCGCTACCCTCCACGGTATCCTTTCAGTGGGGGGAAACCTGTGTCAGTTGGGCCAACCTGCGCCAGTTGTGCCACTGGGAAATGGCTGTGCCGTACTGCTCCAAAAGGGCCTTATTTGTCTAATTCGGGCCTTTGCCCCGCACCGCAAGGTGGTTTCGTAAGAGAAGGTGATGTTGACAGCATGCATAGTGTCATGAATTTCATCTCGGGAGCGCTTGCAGCATATGGAGTTAAGAGAGAGACGAGAGTCGGTGGTAACACGGCAAACCCATTTGGATATTACACAAAATGGCAAAAATCTGAACAAATTCTTGAAACGCAAAAAAGTAACACACATAATAATAAGCTATACAGCGAAACCGGAAATAACTTCTAGTCAAGTTCAATCCTTAGCTCTAATCTCAGTCTAGCCAAAATGGCGTTTCAGTAACGGAACGTTCTTACAGTTCATCCCATTGTCACGTTGACTCTGTGTCCTTGCCATGTCGATGGTTCACCAAGTCTGTCGTCGACGTCCTCCTCAAGTTGCTACGGTCATCGTCGGTAGTTACTGAACGTGCAGTTTGTCTTGATTGCCGTTGTTTCGGTCTTATCTGTCATCTTTGGCCTGCTTGGTCAAACCCAACTCGTCAATGGCCTCATTAATGACTCTCTCTCTGTTGATGACTGGTTTGGTTCGCAGTTGTTCTGGCTCGAATGGAAGAGCTGTAGTCCCCCCAGGAACTGCTGTGCAAGGATGCGGCAAGTCTGGGCAGCCTCACTCGGAACCTTTGAGGTCCACGAACATTTCCCAAGCCTCTTACGCCGACATTTTTCAGAAACGAGCAGCTACTGCTTTTGTCACTGTAGCGACGCTGACCTTCCTGACCTTCGCAGTTCGAAGCTCCACAGCACAGTAGCAGCTTATCTTCCGTGATTTTTCATCACAGCTCACGTCGCATTCCACGAGCCTTTCTCCAATCAATCTCGTACGTAAACGTGGCGCATCTGTCCACCATCGGGGTCTCGCGTGCTGATGCCGCATTCTAGCGCTTGGCACGTGCCTCATGCCCTCTTATTCATGACTAGAAACCGGATTATAGGCAAATGTCTATCTTGTTTTTTGTGTTTCTATCGGGTCGCTTTGATATATGAGCATGAATTAGAGGTTAAAACGAGCTTCTACAGTGTTTTATACTGTCTATAAATGCGTATTTTCGAAGTGTGTAACTAAATTTTTTAAGTGCCTATAAATGTTTATTTTTAGCATGAAAGTCTCAAGTACAGCAGACAAAATAGAACTGGCAGAGCTTTCGAAGTTGATTAATAAGCTTAAGGTATGCGATGTAAGAAGGTATAACATGGAGAGAATTGAACACGCTCTGAAAAACAAAGGAAGCATCAAAGGAGTGAAGAGGAAACTTGGGATAGGCAGAAATCAGATGTATGCACTAAGGGACAAAGAAGGCAAAATAACTACCAATATGGATAGGATACCGTATTTACTCGAATGTAACGTGAGTTTTTTTTCACAATATCTCTGAAGTGATTTGGGGGTTCGCATTATAATCGAAGCACCTCAAATCGTGCCTTGGCGGTGCCGCCCCACTGGCTCCTTAAAATGGCTACGACAAACCTACCGATCTTTCAACCTTGTGCTGGCAACATACGCACGCTGGCAACATCGAATCCAATCCTATTGTTCGCGACGTGTTTTGCGGGCGGTTCATTTCCTTTGTGCTTCCGCGACTTCGGCTCGAGCAAATGGCAGTGCGACGAGTTCAGTACGATGCCCGCTTTAAGAGAAGTGCAATACTGATGGCTGAGGAAATCGGGAACTCAGCCGCGGCTCGACGGCTAGATGTGGCGGAATCTACTATCCGTGGGTGGAGGCTCCAGCTTGAAGCGCTCTTCAAGAGTGAGCTCGGCCGAAAAGGCTTCCGTGGACCTCGTGGCCGTCACACAGAACTCGAAAAAAAAGTGGTGGAGTTCGTGATTGAGCAGCGAAATCGCCTATTGGGGGTCAGCGTTGAGCTGATTCAGTGGAAAGCCCGAGACGAAGCTTGAGAGATGGGGATCCCGCGGGAGAATGTTAAGGCTTCACGTGGATGGGCACAAAAGTTCATGCGAAGAAATGGATTTTCCCTCCGGCGAACAACGTCGATAAGGCAGAAGCTACCAGCAGATTGCGAAGCGAAGCTAGTGGAGTTTCAGCGCTATGTGCTCGACCTGCGCCGCTCGTCGCAAATGCCGTTGGGGCACATTGGCAACGCGGACCAGACTCCCGTTTTCTTGGACATGCCTATGTCAAGGACTGTCAGCGAAACAGGTGCCCCCTAAGGTCGCATAAGGACAACAGGCAACGAGAAGACGCGGCTAATCGTGATGCTAGCCTGCTTGGCGGATGGGCGCAAGTTGCCGCCATACATCATTTTCTGGCGCAAAACCATCCCGAAGGAGCTGTTCCTCAGGGATGTGATTGTTCGCTGTCAAGAAAAAGGTTGGATGGACACTCCGCTTATGCTTGACTGGGTCAAGAGTGTGTGGTGCCTACGGCCAAGTGCGCTCCTCCACCCCGCCTCCATCTTAGTTCTCGACTCATTTCGCGGTCACCTGACGCCCGAAGTGAAGAAACTGATGCGGGAAACTCAGACGTAGCTCGCTGTTATTCCCGGAGGTATGACGTCCGTGCTGCAGCCATTAGACGTCTGCCTGAACAAACCATTTAAGGATAGAATGCGGCAGCTGTACGGAGAATGGATGCGAGAAGATCGGGCTTTAACACATACGGTAGGATAAAGCGGCCTAGCGCTGCCAAGATTGCCGAGTGGGTGTCCGCCGCTTGGTATGGGCTGCGGCACGACATGATAGTTCGCGCGTTTAAAAAGTGCTGTATATCGAACTATATGGATGGCACGGAGGATGACCTCATCTCGGAGGAAAAAGTGACAAAGAGGGCTCGACCACTGGCGATGAAAGCGACGAATGAACAAAACTCACTTTATATTTAGAAACTGGGATGTCTTTGCCACTACCATATGCAGCAAATAAAGGTACTTTTTTCCCCCGCTTTACTCGCGTTACATTCGTGTTCTTTTTTTTTTTTTTTCGGCACTGAAAAGTCACCCTCGCGTTACAATCGTGGTCCTGTTACATTCGAGTAAATACGGGTTAAAATAGTGGAGGAGTTTTACAGAGACCTGCACTGTAGCCGGGACAACCCCGACCTTAATACTATAAGAACTAGCAGTAACCCAGATGACACACCACCAGTAATGATAGGAGAAGTCAGAAAAGCCTTGGAGAGCATGCAAAGAGGTAAAGCTGCTGGTGAGGACCAGGTAACATCAGATCTGCTGAAAGATGGAGGACAGATTGTGTTAGAAAAACTAGCCACCCTGTTTACGAGGGGCCTCCTGACGGGAAGAGTACCAGAGTCTTGGAAGAATTCTAACATGATCCTAATACATAAGAAAAGAGATTACGAGGACTTGAAGAATTACAGGCCGATCAGCTTGCTCACTGTAGTATACAAGCTATTTACAAAGGTAATTGCTAACAGAGTAAAGAAAACATTAGAATTCAATCAACCAAAGGAACAAGCAGGATTTCGAACAGGCTACTCAACAATTGACCACATTCATACTATCAATCAGGTAATAGAGAAATGCTCAGAATATAACCAACCACTATACATAGCCTTCATAAATTACGAGAAGGCCTTTGATTCAGTAGAAATATCAGCCGTCATGCAGACACTGCAGAATCAGGGCGTCGACGAAGCATATGTAAGCATCCCGGAAGAAATCTACTGGAGATCAACAGCTACCATAGTGCTTCATAAAGAAAGCAACAGAATACCAATCAAGAAGGGTGTAAGGCTGGGGGATACAATCTCCCCAATGCTATTTACCGCATGCTTACTGGAGATTTTAAAAAGCCTAGAATGGGGACAGTTAGGCATAAGAGTTGATGGAGAATGACTTAGTAACCTGCACTTCGCCAATAACATTGCATTGCTGAGTAACTCAGGGAATGAATTGCAACTCATAATTACGGAGTTAGGCAAGAAGAACAGAAAAGTAGGTCGTAAAATTAATCTGCAGAAAATGAAAGTATTGTACAACAACCTCAAAAGAGAGCAGCACTTCAAGATAGGTAATTGTGCACTTCAAGTTCTAAAAGACTATGTCCACTTAGGGCAGGTATTAACCGCAGAGCCGAACAACGAGATTGAAGTAACTAGAAGAATAAGAATGGGGTGGAGCACATCTGGCAAGCGCTCTCAAATCATGACAGGTAGATTGCCACTTTCCCTCAAGAGGAAGGTATATAACAGCTGCATCTTGCCGGTACTTAGCTATGTAGCAGAAACCTGGAGACTTACAAAGAGGGTTCAGCTTAAATTGAGGACGCCACCGCGATCAATGGAAAGAAAAATGGAAGGTGTAACCCTAAGAGACAAGAAGAGAGCAGAGTGGATTAGGGAACAAACGGGGATTAAGGATATCATAGTTGAAATCAAGAAGAGGAAATGGACATGGGCCAGGCATGTAGCGTGCAGACAGGATAACCGCTGGCCATTAAGGGAAACCTAACTGGATTCCCAGAGAAGGCAAGCGGGTTAGAGAGAAACGGAAGGTTAGGTGAACAGATGAGATTAAGAAGTTTGCGGGTATAAATTGGCAGCAGCAAGCACAGGACTGAGTTGACTGGCGGAACAGGGGAGAGGCCTTTGTCCTGCAGTGGACGTAGTCAGGTTGATGATGATTATGATGATGATGATGAAATGTTTATTTTTAAAATCGCTGCCTATAAGAACGCTGTTTAACGTCATATTTTGCTTTCGAGTACAGTTGAACACCGGTATTCATGTTATCAGGCGAAAGTCGAGCTTTTGGAACATTATGTGGTGCAACCTATACTCCATTTCATTAGTTCCCTACAGCACTGTCAAGTCTACAAAGTCTCTTAGCCCATAGGAAGGCCCATTACCCTCTACACATGTATTCATTCACGGCGCGTCGTCTGCTCGGCATCTCCCCGGTGTCTTCTTGCACACGTAGGGAACATGAGGTGCTTCTTTGCAGCCGCAGGACGATGAAGAACGAATGCGAAACTATGGAGTGTCATCAGGAGGAAGTAGAGTGTACATAAAGAAAGATGTCCACGTGGCTTTTGTTTTGTGTGTCGTTTACTTGTTAAGAGAGTGTGCACACATTGGATCGGCACTTTTTTACATCTCTCTCAGTAAACAGAACTTTTGTCTAATGGAACAAATTTTTTTGGCTCCTTGGAGTTCCGTTTACTGTGAGTCTACTGTAGTTACCTTTAGTTTCCCTTCAACTTTTCTGTCTTAACTCTTCCCAATCTAAGGCCCTGAAAACCGAGGTTTGAGTGCAAAAGAAATTGAGGATAAATCTGTTTTATTTTGAGCGTGATGCCGGGTCCATGCTGACGACAGCGCATGGCGAACTCCGCCACGTCGGATACCCTGTTTGGTGGTGGCGCCTGGTGACAAGTCGCTGAACTCACTGATGGCTAACGCCAATTTAGCATTTGTGGACAAACACAACCAGAGATTAGGAAGACAATAAAGAAATATTGGGATTAACCCATTGATAAACACATGGGCCACATTTTAGCTTCGCTGGTCAATTATCTGTACGAAGTGCTTGGGCAGGGACTTCTTTGTGTCTGCCTGTAGTGAATGCTTTCCTTAGACATTCAGAACTTACAGTGTGCTGCCGTATTCTTGAATGCCTCTGCTTACTTAATCTCTCTGTAATTTAATGCTATGGTGAACTGGCCTGAGCATTAACTTATTTGCACAGAAGAGTTGGAGAAAAGTGGGCCAGATTCTAAGTGGGTTCACAAGAGAACAATAAAAATGCAAAATGAGGTGCTCCGTGGTATGAGTAAACAAAGCGATGCTGATGATGGTGATGACAATAGATGTGATTGATTTTAGTTGCCTATAGCTTTCATCTCTACTAGCTTTTCTGCCAATAACCAGTATATGAGACTGGTATTCACTTCGGCATCAAGTTTAACAGAAGAACATTTTACCTATGTCTTAGTTTTTTAAAGTAGATAAAGTCCTTTACTCAAAGCACAGAGTGTTTCTGTTAGCGTTACTTGTCAGCTACTCTAAGCTGCGTATTTTTGTTTAGAAATATTTATTGGAGTTAGTCAAGTCCTTTTTACAGAAACATTGTATCTCTGCTTTACTGATTAAGTTATCTCTATCTCTCAATAGACCCAGACGACGAAGTCTACAGCCTGCTTCTGAAGTCCTACGGTACCAACACGAGGACGTGATGAAGACTGGCTTGTGTATCTGTCTTTTCTATCATTAATTGCATCGGGTTCTATAAGTCTTTGCCTCGCTGACTTCATCCTCTCCGTTACCATCTACCACATATTTGTTGCAGCTTCAACTGAATACCTGGCACTAATGGGTTCATTTGCTTTGCCCCATCTCCCGAACGGGCAGCAAACAAGCGGCTCCAGGCATCGTGCCGTAGGCATATGAACTAGTTTTGATAAATGAATGTGGCAGCGTCAGCTTACAGCGAGAGTTGTTAGAAACACAATTAAAAAATTAGCTGCTACAACGCATTGCTGTACACAACTGTGGCTTGTAAACATATAATGATATGTCGAGAAACCTTGAAACCGTGAGCCTCTAAGCCTGGTTTATTTTTCTTGTTTATGGGGGCAGTGCTGCAAGCGACACAAAGGGCTCATTGAGTGACACTGGCTTGCGCTTTCTTTTTTTCTTTTCAACGCTTCACTTTTTTTTTTTTTTTGACAACTCGAATTCAGTCATTGCTTAGTAACTCAGACTCTAAAAGTTTTTGTGTTATGGTGTTGACTTGGTGTACTTTTCATCCTTTGCAAGAAAATTTTTGCACCTTACTCTGAGTATTCTGAAACATCAACGACAAGGAAACCAAGAAAATGTTGATACCCAGAGGCTGGAATGAATTTAGAGTCCCCTAAACTACGATCGAGTTCACAATCATATTAAGGTTTTTATACACACACGCACATACAGTCCCGTAATTTAATTTTTCTTTGTTCAGCTTCCTACTAGCACTTGATTGAGGCCTCCTACAAGTTTGATCAGTTGTAAGGGAAAACCTCTTTTTTTTCTCATTTTTGATGTCAGGGCAGGTCATTGCAATCTTGATTGAAGAAGGTGACGATCTCAGGTGCGTAGCCAGAATTTTTTTCTGGAAAGGGGGGGCGGCACCTTCTTAAAATGGCCATTTTTCGCTCTCTGGACTATGAGGAAAAAAAAAAATTACGGAGGGAGGGGGCGCGAGCTCGGTGTGCCACCCCTTGGTTACGCCCCTGAACAGCTCTTTTCAATAGCATGGATTAGATCGTATGCTGCACAAGACCGCATTTGAGATCGGAGTTTACTTTTAGCGAGGTCAAGGCTTAATGAAGATGGTCACTGCTTGATTGTTAGGCCTATTGGGTTAGATGCTGTTAAAACGTATAAGGGCTGTACCCCTTAGGTATAGCCGTTTCTTGAAAGAAAGCATATTTTAATTTTCACCTGTACTTTAGACATTGTATTATAGCTTTTGTGTTGAGCAATGTTGTATGCTGAGACTTGACAGCATTCTAGCCACAATATTTATGTGACTAGTGCCAGGTATAAGGAAATAAGTTTACATATAAGGGCTCATTTCTTCGTTATGACACAATGTTAACTACATCTAACGAATAGTAATGCCAGGGAAAGTGTAGGGGATGTTCTTAGAAGTAACTTAATGCAAATGTGAAGAAAGAAAAGTGGACGAACAGATAACTTGCCGTGGGCAGGAACCGAACCTGCGACCTTTAAATAACGCGTCCCACGTTCTGCCAGTGCCTGGCAAGGGTGTTGACTTGAGTTGCCAGGCGATGTGGCAGGAATTCTCGCTTGCGATGTACATTGACTTCCTCAAAAATTGCTGTTACTTACTCTTAGAAAACGGAACTGTGAAGTGATACAAATAGTTGAACGTGCTTAAGCATTGCTTATTAGTGGAAATTGCTAAAAGGAGTGCTTAGCAGGAGAAACATTCTTCCCATTTCTATACACATCATCGTGCTAGTACCGTAGGCAACTTAAGGGCAAATTTGAAACTAATTTCACCTGGTGTCTCAAAAGGCAATGGGTTTGTTGCCACGGCCGTAATAGCCTCAGTGACTGAGTGACTAAACTGGCTTGCATTCCATATTCCAAAGTGCCATACTCTGCCATTAGATGTCACTGATAAACTGTACCTTGCCATTTTTGTATTAATGTTTTCTTTTCCACTTGACGTCTGGTTGGTGTTTTGAGCTGCGACAAACGAGTCTCTCCTCTTAAGCGCTTTATTTCTGCTGGGAATGTGTGCAGATGTTAACAATTCCATCACTTGCATCAGTATTTTGTCAGAACATGTTGGTCATGGTGTATGTGCCGTTATGTTTGCAATGTAACAACTCTTGCCCAGTAGGAGAATTTTTTCTGAAAAATGTTTTGTCATTTGTTTGTGAAAGTTGTACATATATGGCAGCTCAACAGCTCTAAAAACTGTTTTTTGTGTGCGGTTGTTGGGGTGTTACTAACACGTTGCACAGTTTGCGGATTGTCCCATGTCATTCGTCATCGGGGAGTGCTACCGATGCAAGCAGTCATCATGGATTCATTTTGTTCGAAACTGTTCTTGCTTTTAGATTTGCTGTAGGCATTTTTATTTAAAGAGGATTGGGGGGGGGGGGGGTATTTTGGCCTTTTGATGATAACAGAAGTATGGCCTACTCTTATATAGTGAACTCTTGTAGCACAGCTGTTTTAACCATTGCAAATGTTTTCAAAATGAATACAACAATGCAGATGGTTTTCTTTAATAAGCACTTGATGGATGAGACTGATGCAGCAGGCTAGCCACACTAGAGGTCTCTGCATCTGGAGTTATGTTAGTGGTAGTGGGTCATCCTTTAAAGGGACACCAAAATCAAATAGCAATTTATGTCAAAGTGAAAGAAGTTCAATGTATGATAACGTCTGAAACGGCAATGCTATCAACAGCAGTGCCCTACTTGCTGAGAAATCGAAATTAAGGTTGATGTACCACACGACAGGCCCCATGAGTGGGATGTTTTGGTAATGATCCCGATGACAGGAGAGCATCCGACTGCAATTAATCAAAAGTAATCAAGCTAGCTGCAATAAAAAAACCTTCCATGCATCAAAAGATATAATAAAATGCTGCTTGTCCATTTCTGTATGACTTATAAAGAAAAGGATTCGCCTGGCGTTTACTACAGTGAGTAGTGCAAGTGGTTCGAGAATTCTATTTTTGCCTGGATATGCTGGATAGGTGGTGCCATCTACTGGAGTCCAGTTGAACCAAGCAAGCAGTACCATGGCCTTTGAGATGGTAGAAAATTGTTCTATGGCCGTTGCTACTGCTGTGGCTTCCGCTACTTTCTCTCTGCTGCTACTAGTGTTGGAGGCCGCGCAGTAAGGCGGGGCAACGTTGTGCACAGCAATAGTGACGTGTGATGGACCACTTTCAGGCGAGGAATTAGCAGTGCACTAACGTGATGCGGACCTATAAAATGTGGTTTTATTTCAAAATAAGCACTTCTTTGGCACAAACTACGAAGTTTCTGGGCTGCTATTTCAGCAATTTTCTGTATGCTCAATTGCAATAACTTGATTTTATTCAAATAATAAAATTTCTCATTCTTATTCTGAATCAACATTAACTTAATATTTACCTTTAGTGTCCCTTTAAAAGAGGTGCCGCTGTTTCGTATTGTGCCCATGTCGTGTTATGCCTGTTGGAAGCTGTACATTTTAGGGCAATCACATTTATTTCCTGTAGTGTTGTCATTTTCTCATTATATTTTTTTTAGAATGTGAGACTGGGTGTTTTGATGCTTTTATTTTCTGGAAAAGTGTTCTGAAATGGTACAAAAACATTTTTATTCCCTTGCACAAAACTCACTTGCGGTACTATTTGTGCCGGTAAAGAGAAGAGAGGGTGCCTCTGACATTTTTTGCACTGTCAAGTAGCATAGCATTTTTTCATTTCAGGACAAAAAGAAAATATTAAGGGCAGCTCATGTACTAAGTTAAATAAGAAAAAAAAAACATTTAGCCTCATTTATTCACTGAAGCTCTCTAAACACTCAGCAGACCTTCTTGCTTTTATGAGGCCTGATGCACTGTTTCGCGCAGGTTGCCTCGCTTACCTTATTTCTCTCATATAACGGATGTCATTAGTTGAAGGGATGCTTTATTATAGCCACGTCCAACACATTCAGCACTTTTCTAAGCAGCTTCACTGTCCTGTCTCCCTACATTTTTTTTCTGCTGTTACTCTAGGCTCTCGATAATCCAAACTCAAATGGACCTCGGGAATTCGTTCTAATTATCAGAAGGAATCATAAAAAATGACTCGGGGGCAGATTAGAAACTTTTTGTGATGAAACGTTTATGTATATGCACCTGTAAACATGGGTACCTTGAAATTACACCGCTGAAGGATTTCCAGTTCAATTCATTCTGAAAAGACAAGGCGTGCAAACACAAGTTAACAAGAAGGAAGTTGCGATACCACAAGTGCCGTGATTTCCATCAGGTGTCTGTGTTTTCACACCTTGTTTATTTAGAATGAATACTTACCCATCTAGATCAGCTCTCTCTTATTTCATTCGACATTTTAGGTGTCCGTGGTTATACTGTTACTCATTGTACAGGATGTGCATGCACATGTAGTTAAACAACAAAATGTGCTGTGTCCTGTAACAGCTCATGGCCTCTTTCTAATCCTAGTGTGCTTTGTCACATAACGCTGTTTTACTGCGGCAAGAGCAATATTCGTGTTTCGCACGCAATTTTCGGTGCACGCAGTTTAGCAAGTTGGCTTGTTTTTTTGGTTAGTTGGACTTGTGTAGGCAGGAAATCAGCATTATTTGTGACTGGTAGCGGTATAAAAACGAAAATGTTTAGCTAGAAACAAAAAGACTTTTAATGTTCTCAAAAGGACAAGACGAAAGATTTTTTTCGGTATGGACAAATAAATAAGTATAAATTGAAGAAATTAAATGCTTTAGAGAATATAGAAGCATCTTCAAAATAGATTGAAAGTTTATATTCTCAGAGATTTAGAGCTTGGGTTTATCGAGAGTCTGCTATACTTACTAAAAATATTCAGTCTTCTTCCTCGAATGAAATTTAATGCTTCATGTGTCTCTATGGTTAGCTGAGCTGCTGATTTGCCTCTAATGTGGACAGGCCGGTTCACTCAGATTTTTCGATCGAAATGTCGCAATATAGTAATGCCGAGCATGTTGATGTGGCTTATGGTTTCTTCATATCATTGCTAAAGTGTTGTGTAGGGCTGGAAGTAGTGTATGAAAAAAAAAAGAAAGTGTACGAAAGCACTACTTAATGGCATCTGTGTCGCCCTTGTTGGTGTGGCATACCCTATACAGTTGAACCTCTTTATAAGAAGCATGCTCCAGGCAGCAATTCTTCTCTTTTATATAAGATGTCTCTTATATACAAGGTACCACGCATGAACTTTTTTATCAACCTCACTGTAGGCACAAGGATGTCTCTTAAACCCATTTGTCTCTTATATCAGTGTCTCTTATAAAGGGGTTCGACTGTAGATGCTGTCCTTCTTTGTTTTTGATTTTAAATCACTGAATCAATGCCGCTGTTCTTATGAGAGTTGCTGGCTTGGGGTGCAAAAAGAGTACTGATAAGGGAAAGGCTGATAAGGCTTTGAGTGTGGGTGAAGATGTGTAGCATTATTTCAATTGATGCTGAACGTTTGTGCGCTGGTTGTGCGCTCGTTTGTGCTTGGAAGTGGAGAAGTCGCAGGGAACATAAAAAGATATAGAGATGTAGTGCTCTGTAGGACTGACCATTACAAGGTGAAAAAGTTGCAGGCAAACTGCAGCAGCAACATACAAAGTATTGTATATATATATATATGCCTTTAAATGTTTAATTATAAGTTTGAATGATAAAGCCATTTATTTCATTTGTTTTGAAATCCTTACTTTCTTTAGGTTCCACAGTTACAGTTTTCAATCGCTCAGGCAGCTGGAAGCATTTTTTTAAGGCTTTGTGCAATAAGAATAACCTTTTATCAGTTTAGTTCATTGTGATCAGGAATAACTTGTGAAGCTTACAAAGAAGTTGTTTATTATTTTTTTGTTTTACCTTTTTTCATCCTTTTTTCTTTTTGCCGTGCTGTTTGTTTAAACTTTTTTTTTTTCTGATCATTTCGTGGGGCTCAATTTCATTTGTCTTGTGTCATTTCATGTTAGGGGTATCATATGATTAACTTTATGGTGCCTGATGGATGTGCTGATACTAAAGTTTCTGTTTGTCTAAGTCCATCATCATCCATCTAGCAATCTTTCTTGTGGTTTCTTTTGCTGTTTCACTCCATCATATTGTCCTGCTAGTGGATATGTGGGATCTTTAACATATTTGACCTTTCCATAAACAAGTTTTTAATCGCTTAGTTGTAGTCGTATGCGATGTTGTTCACTTCATCACTGTGACACTGGGAAAGCGTGTCTTTTACTTACTCCAGAAGTGCTCGGTTGATGCCTTGTCACTTGTTTTTTTTCTTTTACTGCTTGGTCATCATCTGTGTCTGTTTCTTTGGTCATGTCTGCTGTATGTCTGGTTGAAGAGGCTCAGTTTTATGGTCAGTCATATTGAGGTGAAAAAATATATATGTATAAGACATCTTCATTCATGTTGACCTGCATTGTTCATGTTTTGTGCACTTGGGCGCAGATATGTAGTTTGTCACAGCGTTTTGTACAGAGAGCTCTATTTTTTGCCAAGACGGAATAATAAAAGAGTTTAGGCACGCGCATGGCTTAGTTGTGGTCTTCTTGTAAACTTGAACTTTCAACAGTGCGAGTTCGCACAACTACAAAAAGGTCAATATGCTGCATGCTCAGCTATTTCATTAAATGTCATAAGATGCACCAAAGCTCTATAAAGCTGAATACTTGCTGAGTGTTCAGATTGTAGGAACAAGAACATGAGGAGGAAAAGGCAGCATGAATAAACAATGGCTTGCCTGGAAATTGATAAAATGAATTGTGAAGAGTGGCTAGAAAAAGACGTCGGGCTGTGATAATAAAACTCATGCTAATAGTTTGCAAGTATTTATAAAGTCCATTTGCTTTTAAGGTAACTCTGCAACAATTTTCCGCATAGTTGAAAATTTGACGTTTTGTAATCAAAAGCCTCTTGTGTAGATGGTGATTAAAGTATTTTTAAGGGAAAGCTTTACATGCTTTGTCAAATGTGGAAAGTGACTGTTATTGTCGTCAGCATCAGTGGTACAAAAATGGGGGGGGGGGGGGGGGGGGAAGCTTGCTTCAGTGGTGCAAAGACGGAGTCAACAGCAGGGCTTGTGACTGACCTATTTTCTGGTTTTTTGAGATTTCGCTAAGTTATCTTTGACTTTGGCTTAATAAATAAGCCTGCATAATTGGTCGTGACTTAATACTGACCTATTTAGCTTTAGCATAACTAGGCTCTGCTTAGTTATGACATAATTAGTGTGAACGTGATAAGCTGCGGCTTATCCTTGCTGTAGTCATGGCTTAGTATCAAGATAACTAGGATGATGGCCTGATTAGTTGACCAAATGACTTAGTGAGTCTAGGTTAACTTGGCTTGACTTGTTTTGGTACAATACCTAGCTCTTAGTGTGTATTAAACAAATTAGCACAGCTATGGATTAATTGGCCTGATTACAATAGCTTTATCACTGCTCTTAGAATGAATTCGCTTGATCTCAGCGTGGCTTGGCTCAATTAGCTTGTCGAAGTTTATTGCTGCGATGAGAGGTGACTTCATAGCTAGACCCAGTTTCTGTTGCATCCCACGGCCTAACCTCCGGCTTTACCATTTTCTTTTTAAGCGTTTTCTTTTTTTTTTGCCGTTCTCTGTGCTCGTTTAGTCGCCTATCAGACTTATTGTATCCCACGCTAGACAAATCGGTACACGTGTCGTGGGAGCGCAGGAGAAGAGGGCGCGAGGTGGTTTGTTATGATGGTAATTTTTGTTCGCATTACCCGGTGCGAAGGAAAGCCTGAACAGCTCCGCTGTGAAGAATCACGCGATAACGTCACCATTTGACGTCATCTTGGCGTCCCATAAAGCGTAACCTCATGTCGTCGTCGCTCAGTAAAAAGTGGGCCGATCCCGCAGGTACTGCGAAATGACGTCAGTCTCACAAAGCTTCCAATCCCGGAGGCAGTGCAAAACCAGGCTGGAGGCACGAAGCTTACGACAAGAGGAAGGGTTGGGGTAATGGGTATGCGATTGAGTGAGAAGAAAAGGGAGATGATGATTTTCGCCTTTGAGTCGTCCTGGGCAAATGCTCGAGGAACCGCGGGAATTTTTTTTAACTGCATAAAGCAAGCGATTTACAATATTGTGTCCAAGCTTGCCGCAAATCGCTTGCTCCGTCATTCGCTGTGCCTTCGCCTGCTACGCAGCAAGCGGGCTCGACAGGTATTCATTGGTTTATTTCACGAGAGGCCTGCCGGCAAATGATCCTCGTGTAGTTACCGCGGCCGCCATGAGATCGCGCCACGCACGCCTGAACTGTAAAGCCCCTAGATCTAGAAAGTAGCGACACTCTCCTCCGCGTGCGCGTTTTCCTCCTCATTCTCCTCGGGATTTCCCCCTCTCCCGGCCGGCGCGGTGCGCACGGCACGCTTAACCCTCCACTGGCTCGCTGCCAGCCGCATTAGATTCAATGCGCGCGCTTGTTTAATCGGCTCCTTGAAGCATTATACGCGAATATTTCCTTAAGAAAGAGTCGTGACGAAAGTAGGCTTCCCATAGAACTTATGGCAGACATATTTTTTAAGACGATTCGATAAATACGAGCGGAAGCGCTTCGAAAAAATGAGCATACCAGCTGGCGGCTTAGCGGTTTACCTCTCCGTCGCCGCTTCGGCTGTCTGTAACGCGGATGTGTATGAAGCGCATGTAATGTAGGCAGCACATTGTATAGACGAGAACTTGATAAGTGCTGCAGTGTCGCTTTGTAAAATTCATGTTGTGTTGGCGAAAAGCAAGCATAGAAGTCACCGTGCGTGCCTGGCTTCCGTCACGATGAAACGACGAGATATTGCATTCCAGTAACTTTGGGACTTACCTCAGTCTGTTAAAAAAAAAGCAAAACCCACCGCTCAGATGGAAGCTTCTAAGACTATGTTACGCTATAATTAACTCACAGAATTCAGGATGTAAAGTTTATCAGAAGAGAGCCATTACGAAAAGCGCGTACGTGGCTCTTTCTTTATATGAGCATACACGCATAATACATACATATACCAGATACGTAACTTTGCTTCCGTGCGTATGGCTATTTACTTTACGGCTGCTGCCAAGATATCATTGAGCGGTTGTTAATTGACTTATTAAGACGAAAGCCTTAGCTGCCTCATCAACGCGGAACACACACACACGCACCGGCGCGAATACATAGACAAACGCACGCACACACGTCCGCACAAGCACATACACACGCGCGAATACAGACGTACAGAAACGCGCGAACACACAGGCGCACACATACACACACACATAAGCGCGCATATGCGTCGCATACATACACACACGCATACACGCAGGCGCACACATGCACACACATAAACGCACACCCGCACGCACACACACACACACAACACACATGCGTAGGAATTACACACGTTAATTTACAAATTACACACATTAAGAAAACTAACGCACGCGCTAAAAACACAAGAAAACTATCTCAGGGCACAGAGAATTACAAAAAAAGCTCAGCGACTCATTCAGACCCAGCTATATCCATATTTATGTGCTCGCTATTAAACTGAACGGAGAGTCCAGCGATGCAAAGAGCATTAAAATCTTCGTACGACTTTATCTAGAGATTTAACGAAATCGGTAACACTAACCTCGCAAAGAACGACGTGTTTAGAAAAGGCGAAGTCCTTTCTCCCGATGTTGTGGATCCACTGCTTTTCTGCGCACGGCATTCCTATTCCTATCTCCTCGGGGATATAAAATAATCTTACTCCTTTCTCTGACCTGCTGCTGCACTGATACGCGCAACAGCTAGGCATTGCCACGAAAAACGAAGCTCACGATTCTACGCAAAAAAAAAAAAAAAAAAAAAAACACTTCAGAAGCGGCAGGGCTGGCGTGGCGCCTGGAGGGTTCATGGCGTGCGTGATTGACGAAAAGCGCGCGAAGTTTGCTTGCGCGCGCTTTTAGTGACGTCAGGGTCATCTGACTGGGCGGTATCGCCCGCCGCAGCCATTCAGCGCTTGGGATGCGCGGGCTCCGCGAAAGAGGGGGTGAAAAAAGAGGAGGTTGCCGACGCGCCGAGAGAGTGCCGGCGTGGATAAAGGAGCGTCGCTACTTTCCAACATCTAGGGGCTTTACTGAACTGTAGGGAGCCTTGTCATGTATATAGGCTATCTAATGAACTAGAAGTAGTGGCCAACACGCCCAGTTAGAAAAAAAATCACCGCATTTCAAGCTGCTTGAAGATAATTATGGGGCGAAGCTTTCGCAGGTGATTATTGTGATTAAAGTTGAGATAGTACTGAGACTGATTGTGGTGTGTACTTATATTTTTTTATTCAAAGAGGTCAATATGCTGCATGCTCAGCTATTTCATTAAATGTCATAAGATGCACCAAAGCTCTATAAAGCTGAATACTTGCTGAGTGTTCAGATTGTAGGAACAAGAACATGAGGAGGAAAAGGCAGCATGAATAAACAATGGCTTGCCTGGAAATTTATAAAATGAATTGTGAAAAGTGGCTAGAAAAAGACGTCGGGATGTGATAATAAAACTCATGCTAACAGTTTGCAAGTATTTATAAAGTTTATTTGCTTTTAAGGTAACTCTGCAACAATTTTTTGCATAGTTGAAAATTTGATGTTTTGTAATCAAAAGCCTCTTGTGTAGATGGTGATTAAAGTATTTTTAAGGGAAAGCTTTACATGCTTTGTCAAATGTGGAAAGTGGCTGTTATTGTCGTCAACATCAGTGGTACAAAAAAGGGGGGGGGGGAGGGAGCTTGCTCCAGTGGTGCAAAGACGGAGTCAACAGCAGGGCTTGTGACTGACCTATTTCCTGGTTTTTTGAGGTTTCGCTAAGTTATCTTTGACTTGGGCTTAATAAATAAGCCTGCATAATTGGTCGTGACATAATACTGATCTATTTAGCTTGAGCATAACTAGGCTCTGCTTAGTTATGACATAATTAGTGTGAACGTGATAAGCTGCGGCTTATTCTTGTTGTAGTCATGGCTTAGTATCAAGATAACTAGGATGATGGCCTAATTAGTTGACCAAATGACTTAGTGAGTCTAGGTTAACTTGGCTTGACTTGTTTTGGTACAATACCTAGCTCTTAGTGTGTATTAAACAAATTAGCACAGCTATGGATTAATTGGCCTGATTACAATAGCTTTATCACTGCTCTTAGAATGAATTCGCTTGATCTTAGCGTGGCTTGGCTTAATTAGCTTGCCGAAGTTTATTGCTGCGATGCGAGGTGACTTCATAGCTTGGCCCAGTTTCTGTTGCATCCCACGGCCTAACCTCCGGCTTGACCATTTTCTTTTTAAGCGTTTCCTTTTTTTTGTCGTTTTCTATGCTCGTTTAGTTGCTTATCAGACTTATTGTATCCCACGCTGGACAAATCGGTACACGTGTCGTGGGAGCGCAGGAGAAGAGGGCGCGAGGTGGTTTGTTATGATGGTAATTTTTGTTCGCATTACCAGGTGCAAAGGAAAGCCTGAACAGATCCGCTGTGAAGAATCACGCGATAACGTCACCATTTGA